TATATATATATATATATATATATATATATATATATATATTATATAGATGCATATATTTATATGCATATATTTATATATGTATAGTAGCCTATCGTGCACATTCAAGAAAATATGGGCCTATTCATATAATTGTTAATTAACTATATACATACACACATATTGTACATCTGCAGCAGCAGCAGCAGCAGCAACATGCAACTTTAGCAGCAGCAAGCAAACTCGACACAACCGCAGCAGCAAACTGTCCTTTCCGATGTTGGGATCGCCGCTACAGCTAGTCACAGCTAGCTGCCGTAAACCTCCTAGCTAGCTAGCTAGCTAACCAGCAACCTAACAATAAGACAATGATGCTGCATCCATGATAACCCGCAGTGTGACCACAACGAAATACAGAAAAAAGAATCGCCCTATGGTGCTAACAAGACAGCAGCAGCAAGCAGCAGCAGCAGCAGCAGCAAGCAGTAACAGCAAACTGCCGGAGGCCCCCGCCTTGGCCCCACACTGCTGTCATTGCGCACAATCCCCAATGATGTTCACATATACCTGTCATCTACCGCAGCAGCAGAAGCAGCAGCAGCGACAGGGTAGCGTTGGGCTTTCCGCAACTGCTCACCCAACCCATTGACCCCAAACTAGTTGCTGCACATTGCAGTTTACAGCAGCAGCAGCAGCTGATGCAGCAGTAGCAGCAGAAGCTCGAGTGCTAGATCATTTGTCCTTGGCGCGGCAGCACTTGAATCAGTAGCAGCTGAGGCAGCAACAGCTGCAGCAAAAGATGCAGTTGATGCTGTTGATGCTGCTGGTGGTCAGAGAGGCACCTGCAGCTGCGCTGCTGCTGTGTTGTCTTAATGTCGGAGCAGAACAATGGAACGTCTAGTTCCTTCGACGGGACCCCGTTGCTCGGCGGTTTGCTGCTGCTGCTGCTGCAACGGCAATGGCGGCAGCAGCAACTGCTGCAGCAGCAGCTGTTGCTAACGATCCCTTGCCACTAACATGGGAAGGCAACAGCTAAGACACCTGCATGCAAAATTTTGCTGTTCTATTTGCTACATATACAGCAAAAAAGCTGGGGCTGTGAGGCAACTGGTCCGTGGGGAGGGTCGTGCTGCAGCTGTAGCTGCAGCTGCTGTTGCCCCTGCTTGTTGTTGCTGCTGTAAAAAATCGCATAATTTCTTCATGGATTGAGAAGAATCCGTCCAAGAAATGCGGAAGAGCAGCATCAGCATCAGCAGCAACACAAGACGCAGGAGCGGTAGCAGCAGCTACGGCGGCAGCGCTACGCGAGCACCAGTAGCGTCGTGCTGCTGCTGCTGCTGCTGTTGCTGCTGTGCAGCAACAGCAACTCATCTTTGAGAACGAAAGAAGGAAGAAAGGCTTGAAATTGCCAGGTTGAAGTACGAATTTGTGTCTCTTTCACGACGTGCTGCTGCTGCTGCTGCTGCCGCAGTAACTGAGCAGACACATATACCTCTGCGCTGCTGCTCCCTGCGTGTCTGCTGCTGCTGCGGAGTTAGCAGCAGCAAGCAGCAGCAGCAGTTCCCTCTTTCTTTCTGAACTCTTTGCTGCAGTTCAGCGCTCCCTTGTTGTTGACAGGCTCTGAAGGAGCTGCTGTCCTGCTGCTGCTGCTGCTGCTGCTGCTGCGGCTGCGGCGGCGTTGCTGCTTCTCCTTGGTGCTGCTGCTCGGACGTCTTACCTAACTACGCAGCGGGTGCCTTTGCTGCTGTTGCTGCAGCAGCATCAAAACAGTATTTTTTCCTCTTGCCATTAGCGACTGCTGCGGCTCCAGCTGCCGCTGCTGCTGCTGCTGTCCACAAACCGCGCCCGATCCGTGGCTGTGTGCAGCATATCTTGTTAGGAGCTGTCGCTTCTCTCTCACTGCAGCAGTTTGCTGCTGCAACAGCAATTAGGGCAGACGCAAGACACCTCTCTCCTCCTGGATCAGTAGCAGTTCGTGCTGCTGCTGCAGCTGCTGCCAACCGCCTCCATACACCCTTAGGTCCTGCTGCAGCCTACCTCAAGATGAAGCCCGAATAGTGAGGATATGAGAGCTCTCCTTCTTAATCCCGTTTCTTCGTGCAGCAGCAGTAGCAGCAGCAGCAGCATCAGCAGTCCGTGTTTGCAGAGCTGTAGCTGTTGGCCCTCGGCTGGTGTTTCAGTGTATGTGATATAAGAGCTGCTGCTGTTGTTATTGCTGCTGCTGTTGTTGCTGCTGCTGCAGCGATTTTCTCTTCAAGTTGCTCCTTATTGGAGACTCTGGGGTTGGGAAGTCCTGCTTGCTCCTGCGGTTTGCTGTAAGAGACCCTAAACCCTAAACCCTCAAGTCACAAGAAACACAGAACCCTAAACCCTTCCCTCTGCTTTAGTCTGCTCCGACTACACTCCCCATACCCTCCTCCTGTTATCACCAGATAGTTTATTATTGTTTATTATTGTTTATTAGGGTTTATTAGGGTTTATTCGGGTGTAGGGTTTAGGGTTTAGGGTTTAGGGTTTAGGGTTTGTGTGATAGGATGATACGTACACCGAGAGTTACATCAGCACAATCGGCGTCGATTTTAAAATCCGCACAATCGACTTAGACGGGAAAACTGTCAAGCTACAGATCGTAAATCCCCCTACTACTATTCCTGCTGCTGCTGCTGCTGCTGCTGCTGCTGTGTTGCTGCTGCTGCTGTACTGTTGCTGCTATTATTCCTGTTCTTTTTGCTCCCATTCTTGATTCTACTCTTGGTCCTGTTCTTGCTGTTATTGTTGCTGCTCTTCTTGCTGTTCCTCTCGATGCGTTTCTTCTTCCTGCTGCTCTTGGTTCTATCCATTTGCCTCTGCTGCTGCTATTGCTGCTGCTGCTGCTGCTGCTACCTCCTTGTTTTCTGTGTCACTTTTTCCTCTATTTCCCCACAATTTCCTTCCATTACATACATTCATATACACCTACATACATACCTACACGGATATATAAAGAAAATAAAACAACAAAATGAATAAATAAATGAATAAAATAGTAGATAAAATAACGAATAATATCTTATCCTTCTTTTTTTTTCTTTTTCTTTCCTTTTTTTTTCCTTAGTGGGATACAGCAGGTCAAGAACGTTTCCGTACAATTACGTCTTCTTACTATCGCGGTGCTCACGGCATAGTTGTTGTTTATGATGTAACGGATCGTGAATCTTTTTCTAATGTAAAAAATTGGATGCATGAGATAGAAAGGTAAATTAATTATATATAATTAGCTATATAACTAACTAGCTAGCTAGCTAGCTACGTAGCTACCTAGCTACGTAGCTACGTAGCTAGGTAGATTGATGGGTACCTAGGTTACTGGCTAGCTGGGTAGGCCGGTAGATAGCTAGATAAACGGCCAGCTAGCTAAACCGCTACGGCAGCCACCCAGTCACCTATCCATTCAGCTAGCCACTTATATAGCTCGCTAGCTAGCTAACTATCTGTGTGTATGTATGTATTATTGTTTATTTTGTGTATAGGTATGCTACTGAGGGAGTAAGCAAATTATTAGTTGGTAATAAATCAGACTTAACAGCAAAAAAAGTTGTGAGCTACGAAGAAGGAAAAGAATTAGCGGATGCATGCAATATAAGATTTATTGAAACTTCGGCAAAAAATGCACAAAATGTTGAAGAGGTACGTATATGTATTGCTGCTTTTGCTGCTGCTCTTGCTGCTGTTGTTGCTGTTGTTGCTGCTGCTCTTGCTGCTGTTTTTGCTGTTGTTGCTGCTGCTCTTGCTGCTGTTGTTGTTGTTGTTGCTGCTGTTGTTGCTGTTGCTGTTGTTCTTGTTGCTGCTGGTGTTGTTAGTGCTGTTACTGCTGCTGTTGCTGTTGGTGCTTGTGGTGGTTGTGGTGGTGTTGCTGCTGTTGGTGCTGCGAGGCGTGTTTGTGCTGCTGCTGTTCATAGTGGTGATGGTGGTTATGTAGCTACTGCTGCTGCTGCTGCTGCTGTTGTTGCTGCAGGCATTCCATATAATGGCATCGGAGATAAAGGCTCGTGTACAAGTTGGGCAGCAGCAGAATAGGCAGCAGCAGAACCTTCGCATTGGCCCCACACAGCCTGTGCGCGCCTCTACTGGCTGCTGCGGCCGCGGCTGAGTTGCTGCTGCATGCATGCAGCAGAAGCAGCAGCAGCAGATGCATGCACCAGCAGATGCTGATGCATGCAGCAGCAGCTGTCTCCTGTAGCTGTCTTTTGCAGCTGCAGCTGTCCTTTTCAGCTGCAGCTGTCTCCTGCAGCTGCTGCTGTACCCTTCTACGGTACTCTGCACAAACAGCAGCAGCAGATGCTGCTGCAGATGCTGCAGCAGCTTATGCTGCTGCAGCAGCAGCAGCAGCCGTCCCCCTTCGCATAGCTGAGGGGACATTTTGTGCTGTTGGAGACCTTTAGGCCTCCGCAGATATCTGCCTTACAACAAAAGGAGACATAAGGAGACATAGAGACACAAGAGGGGACAAAGAGGGACAGAGAGAGACACAAAAGGAGACTTTAGATATTAACATATAGATATATATATTTATATTTATTTATATTTATATATTTATATATTTATGTATATTTATATATACATTTATATATTTATACATTTATATATTTACATGTTAGCGAGACAAAGAGAGACACTAAGAGATATAACTACGGAGACACAAAGAGAGACAAAAGGAGACAGCAGGAGACACAGAGAAATATGTAGAGATAAGGATAGACAAGTGGAGACACAAGGAGATATCAAGAGACAATAAGTATAATAAATAGGCATAAACAAGAAAACAAGGGGCTTTGTGTCTCATTCCTGCTGCAACTGCTGCTGCTGTTGCTGCAGCTTCTGCTGCGTCTGTGGACGCTGCAGCTATTGCTGGTGCTCATGCTGCTGCAGTGTCCAGGTGCTAGCTAGCTAGATGGGTTGGTAGCTAGCTAGATGGCTTGTTACATAGGTAGCTAGCTGGCTTGTTTACTATGTAGCTGGCTAGCTGGATTCATGGCTAGCCAGCCGAGTCAGGGGTTGCCCTTAGGCACCCAATGATTCCCGCACACAGCTAGCCTCTTCGGCCTAGCTAGCTACGCCAAGCTAGGTGGATACGCCGCCCTAGCTAGCTGCACTGACATAGCTAGCTGTACTGACTTAGCTAGCTGCACTGACATAGCTAGCTGCCCTGGCGAGGGCGCAGCAGATTTGTATTCTCCTCCTGTCTCCCTTCTTGTCGTTTATTGTATCATTGTTGTAAAGAAAAGTATATAAAGAGACAGACCCTATTCATATGTTTCTTACACCGTCTTATTAGCCATTGAAGAACTTCTATTCTCTCTATACAACCACCGAACTGCTAGGGGGGCCCCCCGATGGAGCTGGGGCCTTCAGGTAAGCGGCGTAGAAGGTTTACAGCATGCATGCACTATTCAAACTCGACTGCTGCTGCTGCTGCATCAGCGGCAGCAATAGCAGCAACATCACTAGCAGCAGCAGAGTTTCAATGGGTGGACAAAAATGACCGCGCTGCCACACGCGGGCAGCTATGCAGCGTGCAGCACCTCTCTAAGCAGCAATAACTAGATTTACTTATATTTTATTTATTTTTATTTGAATTAATTATTTATAATTAATAAAAGATGAAAATAAATATTAACAAAAGTCCTCTTAAGTGCTGCCCCATGGATGTACGGGGCCCCACGCATGCAGCCGAGGGGTCCTAGTGGGGGCCCCCTGGGTAAACCCTAAACTAGGGTTTAGGGTTTAGGGTTTAGGGTTTATGCTTTTCCTTTGGCTTTTATTGTATTGTCGGCAATTCGTACAAAGGGAAGAATGCCGACGGGGCTTGCTGCAGTGTAGGGTCTCACCTGCAGCAGCAGCAGCAGCAGCAACAGTGGCAAAGCCCAGCTTAAACCGATACACAGCAGCAGCAGACAGCAACCTTCTGCTTCTTTAGGGACACAGGGGGAGGGACGGCTTGCAAAGGGCTCGATATTGCCTTGCTGCTGCAGCTTCCGCGACAGCAAACACCGTCGATAACAGCAGCAGCAGCAGGAGCAACAACACCAGCAGCAGCAACAGCGGCAGCTGCAGCTGCTGCAGCAGGGGAGATGGAGCACCAGGAAGCTGAATCTCTCGAGGCACTTTTCTCGGTGTTCAACAGTGCCCCTTCTGCTTCTGGAAAGGCTTCTAGCCCAGCAGCAGCAGCAGCAGCATCATCAGCGAAAGCCGACCCTGATGCTGCTGCAGCAGAAGATGCTGCCGACAAGAGCAACAGCAGCAAACGGTCAAGGGCCCCCTCCCCGCAGCAGCAAACTAAGAAGAAGCGCCGGGGTGCGCAATCAGAGCGTCAGGCCAAGAGGGAGCCTGCTGCAGGAGCTGCATCAGCAGCAGCAGCAGAAGAAGATGAAGATGCATTAACATTGGCAACAATAGCACCAACAGCAACAGCAACAGCAGCAGCAGCAGCAGCAGGAAGGAGTAAAGGGTTCGATGAGGGTTTCATGACTGATGGTCTTATTAGTCGTGTTTTATTAGCAGATAAGAATTGTCTTCATGAGGTTATTTATCCAGAGGGGACGCCTACACGATTTAAGGACTTCCCTCTACAGACTACTATTCCTTCTGCTGCTGCAGCAGCAGCAGCTGATGGTGCTGCTGCTGCTGCTGCTAATGGTGGTGATGGTGCAAAGGACGGAACGTCATCAGATGCTGTAAAGACAGAACCAGGATCTGATGCTGCAACTACAGACTCCAATGGGGCAGCAGCAGGAGCAGATGCAGCAGCAGGAGCAGATGCAGCAGCAGGAGGTACATCTTCCGACCCATCAAAAGAATTGTCATCATCGTCCTCATCCGAATCTGCATCAGGAACTTCATCAGAAGCAACAGGAGAAGCAGCAGAAGCAGAAAAAGCAGCAGAAGGAGAATATCCTAAGGTTGCTGCACGTCAATGGAAATTTGTATTAGACCAATTCCAACAAAGGAGTGTACTCTGTCTAGAGGCCGGCGAAAATGTCTTAGTCGCTGCGCACACCTCAGCAGGAAAAACTGTTGTTGCTGAATATGCTATAGCTATGGCATTAAGGGATAAACAAAGAGTTGTATATACAAGTCCTATTAAAGTAAATTCTTATTTATTTATTTATTTATTTATTTATTATCCTTTTTATTTTTCTTTTAATTAATCTTCTTGTTCTTCTTATTCTCTTTCCTCTGGTTACCCTTTTTCCTGTTTTTATTAATATGTTATTGCTGTGAATAAACAAAGAGTTGTATATACAACATGTCTTATTGAAGTAAATATATATTTTCTTCTTTTTCTTCTTTTTCTTTTTCTATGTATTCTTTTTATTCTCCTTTTTATTATCCTTTTAATCATTATTTAATCCTCCCTTTTGCCATCATTAATAGTCGTATATTATAGCAACTGCATATATGCACACTTATTACTTCATTATGTGTTGCTGCTGCTGCTGTTGCTGCTGCTGTTGTTGTTGCTGCTGCTGCTGCTGCTGCTGCAGGCATTATCAAATCAGAAGTATAGGGATTTATGTGATATATTTGGATCAGAGAATGTTGGCTTATTAACAGGAGATGTGTCTGTACAGCCCGATGCATCTATTGTTGTTATGACCACAGAAATCCTTAGAAGTATGCTATATAGAGGATCTGTTCTTATTAGAGAGGTCAGTAACAACTCCTGCTGCTGCTAATGCTGCTGCAGTTGCTGCTAATATTGCTGCTAACGCTGTTGCTGATGCTGCTGCTGTTACTGCTCTATCTGCTGCTGCATCTGCTGCTGAATCGCCTGCTGCGACTACCGCTGCATCTACTTCTGCACAAACTGCTGCAACATCTACTGCTGTGCTGCATCTCCTGCTGCTGCATCCCATGCTGCTGTTGTTGCTTCTGCTGTTGCTGTTGCTACAGGTTCGTTGGGTGGTATATGACGAGATTCATTACATGCGTGATCGTGAGCGTGGTGTAGTATGGGAAGAAAGTATAATATTATTACCAATAGGATGCAGATTAGTATTTTTATCCGCAACAATACCTAATGCGCAGCAATTTGCTTCCTGGGTTGCTGCACTAAAGAGGCAACCATGTCATGTATTATATACAGAAAAAAGACCAACACCCCTACAACATTATATGTATCCACAAGGAGGAGATGGTGTATATTTAGTAATGGATGAGAATAAAGTATTTAGAGAAGATAGTTTCTTAAGAGCTGTTGCTACATTACAACAAGTTGTTGAACAGCAGCAGCAGCAACCACTGCAGCAGCAGCAGCAAATACGTAGACAAAGACAAAAAAATAGAAATAGTATTACTAAAATATTACTTATGTGCGAAATGAGACATTATACACCCGTTATTGTTTTTTGTTTCTCTAAGAAAGAGTGCGAGGCTAATGCCCAAGCTCTTATAGGTAGACCAGATAATAACGGCAGCAGCAGCAGCAGCAGCAGCAACCAAGGGGTCACACTCACTAGCGAAGAAGAAAGAAAACTTATCGCAGAAATATTCAATAATGCCGTCAGTACACTCGATGAGGAAGACAGACAACTGCCACAGGTAACGTAAACCCTAAACACTAAACCCTAAACCCTAGCTTCGACGGTCCAATGCTGCGTCAGCTAGTACTAGTGGGGAGACAGCGGAGTCTTTGAAAACCTCTCTGAGGGTTAAGAGAGGCGGGGATTAGGCATCTTTAGAGGCGTGCAACGGTGTAGGGTTTAGGGTTTAGGGTCTAGGGTCTAGGGTCTAGGGTCTAGGGTTTAGGGTTTGTATGCAGATTAAGTCGATTTTGCCTCTGCTGCTGAGGGGCATAGGGATCCATCACGGAGGTCTCTTGCCTTTTGTCAGGGAATTAATAGAGATCCTCTTCCAGGTACCTCACCCTCCTGCTGCTGCTGCTGTTGCTGTTGCTGCTGCTGTTGCTGCTGCTGGCCTTTCCACTGCAGCCATTTGTGTGTAGCACACTTGCATGCATGCACACACACATACACGCACAGACATACAAACATGTATGCATGCACACATGCATGAATGCACAGAAGCACACCCTTGCATGCATTAAATGCATGCATGCATACATGCATGCATGTATATATGTATTTATGTGTCTGTTTATTTTTTGTTTATTATTATAGGAGTCATTAATTCGTGTATTATTTAGTACAGAGACATTTAGTATGGGTGTGAATATGCCGGCAAAGACGGTCGTATTTACGGCGATAAGAAAATGGGATGGAGAAACTTATCGTCTAATTAATGGTGGAGAATATATTCAAATGGCGGGTAGAGCAGGGAGGAGAGGGCTTGATGATAGAGGTATAACAAATAGGCTGCTGCTGCTGCTGCTGCTGCTGCTGCTGCTGCTGTTGCTGCTGCTGCTGTTGCTGCTGCTGCTGTTGCTGCTGCTGTTGCTGCTGTTGCTGCTGTTGCTGCAGATGGGGGTGCTGCTGATGATCGTTGGCCTGCTGCTGCTGGTTTGGCTGTTGATGAGGCTGTTGACGATGCTGCTGACGTCTGTGCTGGGGATGATAGTGGTGGTGGTTCTTGTTGTGGTGCTGCTGTGCTGCTGCTGTTTCTGTTGCTGCGTCTGCTGCTGCGTCTGCTGCTGTTTCTGGTGCTGTTGCTGCATCTTCTGCTGCTGTTGTTGTTGTTATATTACATCATTTTTTTTCTTCTTCTCCTTTTTCTTTTTCTTTTGCATATATATATTGTATATAGGTATAGCAATAATAATGTTTGATGAACAAGTAGACCCTGAGGAAGCAAAGACATTATTTATGGGGGGTGCTGCTCCTCTTGTCTCGACCTTCCATCTTGGATTTAATATGCTTCTTAATTTATTCAGAATTGAAGATGCTGATCCAGCTTATATGATCTCTAGAAGCTTCGCTAATGTATGATACTAATAAACCCTAAACCCTAAACCCTCATTAACCCTAAACCCTAAACCCTCATAAACCCTAAACCCTAAACCCTAAATTTGAAATATGCCTTGCCTGTATAGCTTTCGGTGATAAATATGGCGAAAACAGTCTTTGCTTGTGTGTTCCGGAGGATCGTTCAGCTGCTGCTGCTGCTGCATTTGCTGCTGCTGCTGTTGGTTCTGCTGTGGTTCCCGTTTCTTATGCGTTATATAGTCTTGTAATTGCTGCGCCTAATTGTTGTTTCCTTTGTTGCTGCTTCTGTTCCTGCTGTTGCCGCAGTTCCAGCAGCACGGCCGTTCTTTGAAGCTGCAGCACGAGCTGCAGGAGCTGCAGCAGCAGCTGCAGATGGCACAAGATATCCGATCTTTAGTTACCTTACCCGAAGGGGAGAAGGAACCAGACTTTGATGTTGAAGAGGTACGACCTCTAAACCCTAAACGCTAAACCCTAAACCCTAATTTAGTGTGTAGTCTGTTTATTTGTAAGACAGTCGTGCACTCGCTGTGTTTCGCGTTTTTAGTATCCCCAGATGGCGTTTCTCCCCTGCCGAGGGTTTAGTGTTTAGGGTTTAGGGTTTAGGGTTTGTGTTTTTATAATGTGATATCTCAGGCAATAAGCAGCTTTTATGGTACAAAACACGAACTGCTGCAGCAAGGACGTTTGCTGCGGTCTATCGCTATGCAGCCGCAGCACTTAGCTCGTTTCTTACAACCAGGGAGATTATTATGTCTTGAAGAAGATGATGGAACAGAATGGGGATGGGCTACTTGTGTTAAAAAGGTACATAAACCCTAAACCCTAAACCCTAAACACTCGAGGAGGAGGGTGCAGCGGATCGTGGCAGACGCAGTGGTTTTCTTCTCTGCACTGATTTCCTTCCTTTTGCCGTTTTCTTCCTTATTTCCCTCTTAGGGTTCAGTTAGGGTTTAGTCTAGGGTTTAGGGTTTAGGGTTTAGGGTTTAGGGTTTTGTGTGCAGTTGGAGAAGCGTAAGGTACCATCAACGAATGCTCATGAGGGTCCTATTGAGCAGCTATTAGTTCATTGTCTTGTTAGTTGTCTTCCTTCCTCAATAAATAAATTAATAAATAAAGAAAAAGATAATAAATTAAATAATAATAAAGAAAAAGATAATAAAGATAATTCCTCCTATAAACCCTCCAAGCCAAGACCCGCACCACCAGTAGGAGAAGAAGGCAAAGATTACGTCCTAGAGGTGTGCTCCTGCTGCTGTTGTTGTTGCTGCTGCTGTTGCTATTGCTGCTGCTGCTGCTGGTAACAACGAAAGACTTGCTGCTGCTGTTGCTGCTTGTGCTTCTGATATTCCGTTTCTGCCGCTGCTTCTTCTCCCAATCCTAGACCTATTCCCCCTCCACCTCCTCCTCCTCCTCCTCCAACACTATTGCTGTTGCTGCTGTTGTTGCTGCTGCTGTTGCTGCTGTTGCTGCTGTTGCTGCTGCTGCAGGTAGTGCCATTTAGTGTATCCTGTGTATCCCGTGTAAGTAAATGTAAGATGTCCTTGCCTGCTGGTGGAGATGTTGAATCTTCGGATGCAAGAAGAAGTATTCTCTTCCAATTACAAATGATTCAACAAAAATTCAAAGTATACTCCTGCTGCTGCTGCTGCTGCTGCACCTGCTGCTGCTACTGCTGCTGTTTCTGATGATGATGATGATGATGATGCTTCTGTTGGTACTGCTGGTGTTGGTGTTGGTGTTGGTGTTGGTGTTGGTGTTGGTGTTGCTGCTGTTGTTGTTGTATATGGTGATGCTGCTGATGAGGATGCTGCTGAATATGCTGCTGATGCTGATTGTGATGATGAATGTGCTGCTGCTGCACCTTTTATATTTGCTGCTGCTGCTGCTGCTGTTGTTGTTGTTGTTGCTGCTGCTGCAGGACTGTGGCGGGTTGCCATTGCTGGACCCTGTCGTAGACATGAAGGTTGATCATCCGCAGCTGGCGGTATGCTAAACCCTAAACCCTAAACCCTAAACCCTAAACCCTAACGATGGGTCTGTCTGTGTGTATGAGTGCCCCTTTATGGGCATTTTTATGATGAGGGTTTATATCTAGATGCTGCATGCGCATTGCTAGGGTTTAGGGTTTATGAATAATATGGTTTCTTCTTGCGTAAAGATTTAGGGTTTAGGGTTCAGGGTTTGTCACTGTTGTGTCTTTTCTCATTGCTTCCATGCGTGCATGCATACATACATGCATGCAACAAACATGCATGCATACATGCATGCATGCATGCATATATAAATATATAAATATATAAATATATAAATATATAAATATATAAATATATAAATATATAAATAAATATATGTATATATGTATATATGTATATATGTATATATGTATATATGTATATATGTATATATGTATATATGTATATATGTATATATATGCAGGAATTAGTTCGTCGTATGGGTGAATCTGAATGCGCATTAAGAGCAAATCCTTTTAATGGTCATCCTCTTTGTTCTTATTATTATTCTGCACAACATAAACGCATGCAAATAAAAACAAGAATTAGGCAAATACAAACTGAATTAGAGACACAAAAAAAAACTGCTATTAAGGTAAGAAAAAAAAAAGGAAGGATATTATATCCCTTTGTCTCTAATAAATAAATAAATAAATAAATAAATTAACTATATATATGTGTGTATATGTTGTGTGTGTCTGTCTCTATAGGATTCCCTCCGTTGCATGCGTCGTGTATTATACCGATTAGGTTTCTTAGAGAGCGGAGAAAAAGGAGACACAAATAATAAAGGAGACACAAAAGGAGAAATGAATAGTACAGGAGACACAAGAGGCGACGCTAAATTACTATTAGGAGGAGGAGGAATAGGAGGAGGAGGAGGAGGAGGAGGAGGAGGAGGAGGAGGAGGAGGGGGAGATATAGTAACATTAAAAGGACGAATTGCATGCGAAGTATCAACAGCTGATGAATTATTAACCTCTGAATTATTATTTAATAATTCATTAAAAGATTTAAATGCAGAAGAATTATGTGCTGTACTTAGTTGTCTTGTTTGTCATGAAAATCATCAAGAACCTGAACCTACTAATCCTAGACTACTTGCAGGTAATTTATTTATTTATTTATTTATTATTTTATTTATTTATTGTTTTATTTATTTATTTATTTTATTTCCGTTTTTTTGGTCCTAGTTTCATGTATTTATCCTTTATGGGGCTGGATATCTATAATATGAGTACGCATGCATGCATGCATACATATATGTATAATGGGTCTTTTTGTGAATGCATGCATGCATATGATGTATATATACATACAAGCATGCATCTGCATGAATTATTGTGGCTTTTTATGCATTTGCATGCATGCATGCATGCATGTATGTATGTATATTTCTTATGTATACAGGAGTACAAAAGGTGCGGGAGGTAGCTCGGTCAATAGCTCGTGTCTTTGTAGAGTGTGGTTACGTATGGGGGACCCAATCAGACTACCAGCAGCAGCAGCAGCAGCAGCAGCAGCAGATGCAGATGCAGCATCAGCATGATGATGAGGGTATGCAGAAGCAAGAAGAAAAAGAGGTTGAGGCAGTAGAGGCATACGTGAATAATTATAAGCATGCACTTGTTACATTAACATATGGATGGGTAAGAGGAGAATCTTTTTCTTCCTTATTATTAAATAATAATTTATATGAAGGAAATATAATAAGATGCATGCGTAGATTAGATGAATTATTAAGACAAATTGCATGCGCAGCTAAGATAATAGGTAACCAACAATTAGAGATTAAATGTATACAAGCAGTTAAATTATTAAGAAGAGGTATTATATTTTCTTCTTCTCTTTATCTATAATTTATTTATTTATTTATTTATTTATTTTATTTATTTATTTATTTATTCTATTATATTATATGTTATATAATATAATATACTACTCTTACTTATTTATTTATTTATTTATTTATTCTCTTCTTCTTATTTGTTCGTTTTCCTCTTATTACTTATGTTCTAGTGACAGGATGCAGCTAGCTAGCTAGCTAGCTAGCTGTTAGGTAGGTAGGTAGCTAGCTGGTGCTACAGGGAAGGAGTAGCAGCTAGCTGCTGCTGTTTTCTGTATATACGTAACCAGCTAGCTAGCCAATAATAGCTAGCTAATTATATATATACATATATAGACACATGACTATGTAACAGATACTCATAGCTAGCTAGCTAGCTAGCTACAGCTATTCATAGCTAGCTACGGCTACTCCTATTGCTAGCTACAGCTATTTATAGCTAGCTACAGTTAGTCATATATAGCTGTAGTTAATAATAACTAGCTATAGCTAGCTATAGCTAGCTGTAGCTAGCTAGCTATAGCTAGCTATAGCTAGCTGTAGCTAGCTGCAGAGGGCAGCCATTAGACCCCGTGCGGGGGAATGACTAGTTGTTGAGGATATTAAAGCATATATACTGTTGTTGCTGCTGCTGCTGCAGCTGCAGCTGCTGCTGTTGCTGCTGCTGCTGCTGTTGCCGCTGCTGTTGGGCATATATATATAGTAAAAAGGAGACACATGTGTCTCCTTGGGGATCGATTTGCTGCATCGATCCCCACAAACGCTGTAAAGAACTTTAAACCCTCTTCCTATTCCCTAACAACATTATCATCTTGCTGCTGCTGCTGCTGCTGCTGCTGCTGCTGTTGCAGCAGCAGCAGCTGCTGCTACAGCAGAAGCAGGCGTGTGCTGCAGCAGAGCTAACACAGCATACATGTGCTGCAGCAGCTGCTGCTGCTGTGAGAGCAGCAGCAGCAGCAGCAGCAAGAGGCGTATAGCACATTGCAGACTACGCAGAAGAAAACCGCCAAATGTGCTGCTGCACTTCTGCTGCTGCTATATTGCTGTTATTGTTGTTATTGCTGCTGCTGCTGCTGCTGTTGTTGCTGCTGCTGCTATCTAAGTCGTCTCTTATGCTGCTTAGCTAACATATCCATAAGCATTGCTTCTTCTTGCTGACAGCAATGCTGCGCTCTTAACAGCCACGCCTCCACATCAATTGTACCGATAGTCCCTTTGCTGCTGCTGCTGCTGCTGCTGTTGCTGTTGCTGTTGCTGTTGCTGCTGCTGGTGTTACCCTGCTGCTGCTGCTGCTGCTGCTGCTGCTGCTGCTGCAGTGCTCTATCTGCTGCCTGTAAGAATTTAGACCTCATACGGAGACAACTAACGAGGGCCTTTTGTCTAATCTTAAGTCTTGTCTTAAGACAGCGAAGAACAGAGGGAGCAATATAGACTGTCTCCTTGCTGCTGCTGCTGCTGCTGCTGCTGCTGTTGGTTTTGCTATTTACACCACGACGATAACCCCTGCTGCTGCTGTTGCTGCTGCTACTGTCTCTAGGTGGGTAAGGGAGGAGGGCATTGGCTAACTGTGGGGATGTTTCTCTCTTTATCGATCTTCTGCTGCTGCGGCAGCTGCTGCTGCCACCACTGCTGCTGCTGCTGCTGCTGCTGCAGCTGCTGCACCCACGCAGTCTCCTGTGCCACCGTCGAGCTCCCGCTACACCCCAACCAAGGGCACGAGAGAGCCACAGCTCATCTGTACAGACACACGGCTGCTTGTTGCAGCAGCAGAGGCTACTTTCTTCGCTGCTGCTGCTGCTGCTGCTGCTGCTGCAGTGATCCGTCCTGCTGCCCGGGCTACGACGACGAGACTTAGGAGATCCTCCTGCTGCTTTTGCTGCATCCGATTTCACTTCTGCTGCTGCTGCTGCTGTTGTTGCTGCAGCTGCTGTTGTTTCTGTTGCTGCTGCTTCTGTTGCTGCTGCTGCTGCACGACTTTGTTCTTCATTTATGTCACAGTTACACGCTGCTGCTGCACCTTGCTGCAGCGCCTCGAGAGTCAAGGGGTAAGCTTCCTCGTTGCAGCAACAGGCCTTGACTTTGCTGCTGCTGCTGCAGCTGCTGCAACAGCAGCTGCTGCTGGCAGCACTGCCACAGAAACAACCACATGGATAACCGCCGCCGCTTACACCGTCAAGGAAACCATATCCACAAGCAGCTCTTTGTAGCTGCTGCTGCTGCTGCTGTTGCTGCTGCTGCTGCTCCAGCAAAGCAAGACGCTGCTGCAGCAGCCAGTCTTGCTGCTGCTGCAGTATTATTTTTTCCTGTTGCTCTAAGATAATTCGCCGTTGCTGTCTTAGCATGTCCTTATACTGCAGCAGAACTAGCTGCTGCTGCCCTGCTGCATCTGCTGCAGCAGAACGGGAGCAGCAGGGGCAAGAGCTTGGCTCTTGAGGTGTATAAGCAGCTGCTTCTGCTGCAGCAACAGCAGCAGCTGCAGCAGCAGCAGCTGCTGCTTGTCCTGCTGCTAAGCAGCATGGCTGAGAGGGCCAATTCATTAGAGCAAAGGGTTGCTGATCCGAGGGATCCTTTAAGCAGCAATTGCTGCATGCAACAGCCTGCTGCTGCTGCTGCTGCTGCAGCTGCGTCGTTGGAGTGCATAGATAGTCGTCAGGCTGAAACAGCTGCTGCTGCTGCTGCTGCTGCAGCAAGCAGCACTGCCCAAGGTCAGGACTTAGCGATCCCCGTATGCCGCAAGGTTCCTCTTGATTCAGCAATACCCTTTGCTGCTGCTGCTGCTGCTCACATGCTGCTGCATGCGTATGACTGCAGCAAGAGTCTGCCGCACGCAAGGGGACAGGGAGAGAAGCAGCTCGTTGGTGCAGCATCAGCTGCTGCTGCTGCGGCTGTTGCGGCAGCAGCAGAGGAGATCCAGGTGCTGCTTGCTCCATGTGTTGCTGCTGCTGTTGCTGTTGCTGCTGCGGCAAGAGTGTGCTGCTGCTCTGCAGCAGCCCTGCTGCCTGCATCCTATGGTCTATCCATGGCTGGCAGCGGCGCTGCTGCAACACGCGTCCCCACAAGAAGGTTGCTTGCTGCTGCTGCTGTTGCTGTTGCTGTTGCTGCTGCTGCGGTGGCTTCTGCTGCTGCGGTGTTGCTGGAGCTTGCGTGCTTTGCTGTTGATCCTGGAGTTGCAGTTGCTGCACTTGCTGCTGCTGCTGCTGCGGTTGCTGCTGCTGTGGTTGCTGCTGTTGCTGCAGCTGCTGCCTCTGCTGCGGTTCGGGTCTTCGAAGCCATGCAGGTCTGCGGGTTTGCTGCGCTGCAGCACGAGGCTTGCAGCAGGGAGGCTCTGCTTCTGCCAGCTGCTGCTGCTGTTGCTGCTGCTGCTGCAGCCGCTGCCGTGGTGACATCCTTGGATCCCCACAGCTAGCCAATGGCTTGCTGCTCTGCTGCGTCACAATTTCATGGATTTGTTGCTGCGGCTGCTGTTGCTGCTGTTGCTGCTGTTGGTTCTGCTGCAACTCTTGGCGCTGCTGCAGGATCTCGATTTGCTGCTGCAGCAGCTGCTGCTGCTGCAGCAGAGGCTCGACAGCAGAAAGGGAAACAAGACTGCCTGCAGAAGCTAGAGGTGGGCAGCTCCCGCTGCTGCTGCTGCTGCCTATGGTAGCTAGACTGCTGCAGCTTGCATGCGTGGTAAGGCTGCTGCTGCTAAGAGGCCATGCGGGTTTGTCTGCTGCAGTTGCTGCTGCTGCTGCTGGTGCAGGAGGTAGAAGCTGGGGTGCCTGCAGCAAATGTCCTGTAGAGGAGGAGGGCCTTGTGAGTACTTTTCCCGCCGCTGCAGTAGCAGCAACAGCAGCAGCAGCAGCAGCTGCTGCTGCTGTTGCTGCATCCTCTCTTGCTTCTGCATCTTTATGAATATACAGCTTCTTCTCTTCTACTGCATGCAGCGACTCATAAGGAGGAGGAGGCAGCACCCGCAGGCTTGTCTTGCTCTCTCTCACCTGCTGCTGCTGCTGCTGTTGCTGCTGCTGCTGCTGCTTATGCGGTGTAAGAGGCAGCAGCAAGGGACTAAGAGACAGCAACGATCTCTCTGGTTGCGTTGACGTCTCTGAGTTAGCATATGCTGTTGCTGCAGGGGAAGGAGGTACTAATGCATGCAGAGAGGGGGAAGATTTTGCTGCTGCTGCTGCTGCTGTTGCTGCTGCTGCAGCAGCAGACGCTGCTGCTGATGATGCTGTTGCTGCAGCAGCACGAGGGGTTTTTGTTGCAGGCAAGGCAATAGCCATGCCTTCTGCATTTGTAAGAGGGGCTAACACCGTCAGATAATCCATCTTAACTGCTGCTGCTGCTGTTGCTGCTGCTGCTGCTGTTGTTGCTGCTGCTGCCTCTGCTGCTGCTGCTGTTGCTGCAGCAGAGGCCCCTGTGAGACCGAAAGGAGGGGTAAGGCTCCGTGCCTCTTTTATGAGAAACCCTTCTCTGCGGGATACTGGGCTTCTAATAGAGCAGCAGCTGCTGCTGTTGCTGCTGCTGCTGCTGCTGTTGTGTGTATGTGTCAGTAGGGAGGCCGGAGCTGCTGCCTCTTTGGAGAGCAGCCCTTGACTTCTTCTTCATTCGCTGCAGTTGCTGCTGCTGATGCAAATTCTGCTGCTGCTGCTGCTGTTGCTGCTGTTGCTGCTGCTGGAGCCACTGGATCAACGCTGCGACTGCTAGAGCAGCATCCAGAGGCGACAGCAGCAGCAGCAACAACAGCAGCAGCAGCAGCAGCAGCAGCGGGAGCTGGTGAAGGTGTGTGTACTGTACAATTTGACAAGATGTGTATTAGCCGATTAGCTGTTGCTACTACTGCTACTACACTGCTGCAGCAGCAGCCGCTGCTGCTGCTGCTGCTGCCGCTGCTGCTGCTGCTCCTGCTGTCCGGAGCAGCACGAGGCGAGGGGGACTATTCGCTGTCAGTCTTTTACTATTTAGTTAATAAAAGAAAAACAAAAAACAATAAGAGACAAAGAAAGAAAAAGACAGAAACAGCAGCAGCAAGACCTGTTCATCGCTCAGCATACAGCAGCAAGAGCAGCAACAGCAAGAGCAGCAGCAGTAGCAGCAGACACACTAGGGTTGTGCTGCTGCTGCACTAGTTACTAGGGGGGCCCCTCTTAATTAATTATTTAATTAAATTATATAATATAAAAACATGTAATAAATATTCCTCTTTTATTTCAATAAGGGGGGCCCCTGGGGGCCCCCTCTTTGCTGCTCTTAGTCTTGTTGCAGTACTAAGACACTGCTTAGTCTTAAGGCCGGCAGTGGTTCTGCTGCGGCTGCTGCTGCAGTGTACGTACACCTATATATTGAGGGGTGTTTCTGCCTTTCTTATGACTAAATAAATAAATAAATAAATAAATAAATTATTTTTATTAATTTTTATTAAAAAAAAGGGTTAAATCAGTGCGTTTTTAGCAGCAGCAGCAGCAACAACAGCAGCAGCAGCAGCAGCAACAGCAGCCAACTGGCAAGTAGATCCAGTTGAGGTGTATGTACACCTAAAGGGGGTTAACACATTATTACAATAAATAAATTTAATTAAATAATTTTTATTAATTAAATATAAACATAGAAATTATTCTCTTTATTCCTTTTCTTATATGAATTACCCTTTGTGGGGTTTTGCTGCTGCTGCTGCTAGTAACAGCAGCAGCAGCAGCAGCAAGCAGCAGCACGATTTCTCCTACTAACAGGCTGGCAGCCTATGGTTTAGGGTTTAGGGTTTAGGGTTTAGACACTCGCGGGTGTATCCTTTGATCCCCTGTGCCTAAGAGGCAAGACACTTCATCTGCTGCTGCTGTTGCTGCTGCTGCACTTGCTGCTGGTTGTTGTTGTTGCTGCTGCTGCTGCTGCAATTGCATAGTAGATAAACAAAAGGACAATAAGGACGTGTATCTGTATATAGTCTGCTGCTGTCTCCTCTTAATCAAGCAGCAACACAACTCCCTCTTGCTGCTGTATCCTTCGCTGCTGTCTCCTCTTGCTGCTGTCTCCTTTGCTCCTGTCTCCTTTTGCTGCTGTCTCCTCTCGCTGCTGCCTCCTTTGCTGCTGTCTCCTTCTGGCACAAAAGAAGCATTGTTGGCTAGCTAGCTAGCTAGCTAGCTAGCTGTCTAGATAGCTAGCCATGTGTCTAATTCAGCAGCAGCAGCGACAACAAGTGTAGTAATAACAGCAGCAGCAGCAACAACAGTTGTAATAATAACAGCAACAGCAGCAACAGCAGCAGTACTAACAGCAGCAGCAGCAACAACAGTTGTAATAATAACAGCAGCAGCAGCAACAGCAGCAGTACTAACAGCAGCAGCAGCAGCTGGCCAATGAAGAGTAAGGTAGGGGGCATAAACGAATGCGAATAAGAGTCATAGAGAAAAATGTTTACACGGGGCCCCCTGTAGGGGGCCCCTACAATGGGCCGCTGTAGGGGGCCCCCAAAGAGGGCACCTAAAGGGGGCCCCCATTAATGAAGACCTATTGCTGCTGTGGTGCGGCTGCTGCGCCTTAGCAGCAGCGAAGAGGCCCCCCTAGCGACAGCAGAACGAAGGAGACAATAAAAGGAGACAGGGGGAGAGGGGGGCCCCTCATGGGTACCATTACACTGGAGGCCCTCCCCTGGTAGAGGGGGACGAATATAAGGGGGGCCCCCTATGCCAATACTGCTGCTGCTGCTGCTGCCGCTAATGTTACTGCATATGCTGCTGCGGGGGTAGCCTACAACAGTACCAACAGACACTAGCTGTACTGATCGTGGCTGCTGCTGCTGCAGTTGGTGCAGCAGCAGCTGCTGCTGCTGCATTTGCTGCAGTTGCTGCTGCAGGGATCCTGTGTCTCCTCCTTGATGCCTAGCAGCAGCACGACAGTACCTTATGTCTCTTCGTACCCCTGGGGGCCCCCATCTAGCAGCAAGATAAAAGAGACACAGAGCAGCAACAAGAGACACAATAGAGGCCCCTATAATTACCCAACAGGCCCATAGATCACTAGAAGGAGACAGCCAACCCATGGGGGCCCCTGGGGGGCCCTCAGGGTCACCCGGGGCCCCCAAGGGAACAGGAGGGGCCCCCCCAGGTGGGGAGGGTACCGCCCTGCTGCCTCTGCTACAGCTAATCAGCATAAGAGAGATAACGAAGCAGCATAAGACACGGAGGCCCTGCAGCAGCAACTCCTGCAGCAGCAAACACAAAAAACCACAGCAGCAGCACAACATATATAAGGATAGGGGCCCCCAGGGGCCCCCTAATAGGTACTAAGGGGCCCTTCAATCCTGGCACAAACAAGCTGTACCCTAGGGGACCCCTAAAAGGGCAGAGTAAAGGGAAGCAGGGCCCCCCAAGGGTACAGGAGTGCAGGAGGGGGCCCCCATTACTTACAGGAATAGTAAGGGCCTCCTTGAATGATTTAGTACCCTTATAGCAGCAAAAGGCCTTGCAGAGAAAAATAGCAGCAGCAGCAGGAAGCAAACCCTTTGGCAGCATCTCCAAGCTGCTGCTGCAGCAAGTATACCCTCCTGCTGCTGCAGCAGCTCCTTGCTGCGGCAGCTGCTGCTGTGCGTTACGGGGGCCCCCCAATAGAGCGGGGCCCCATAGACCACCAAGGGCCCCAGCGAGGGCCCCCCACAGACAAAAAGAAGAAAAAGGGTACCTTGTATATAAAGAGAATAAAAGGAGACAAATAATAACAGCAGCAAGAGACAGCTGCCAGAAAGGGTACTTGGCCAGAGTACCCATAAGGAAAGACCTGCTGGGGGCCCCCCCGGGGGCCCCCGTTAAGGGCCCCCCGTCGGGAGGCCCCCATAATAAGGCAAAAGATGAAAGGGCACCGAACTCACCCCATGCTAGCAGCAGCAACAGGGGGGCCCCCAAGACAGAAAGGAGACAGTTAGGTAATACCTCAGTAAGGAAAGAAAGAACATATATACCATGCATGCGCGGGAGGCCCCATCCTGCTGCTGCTGCTGCTGTTGTTGCACTTGATGCACTTGCTGCTGTTGTTGCAGTAGGCACAGACAGGGGCCCCACAACTGTGTGCTGCCCGCCTACACTTCCAAACCCGTCTAGGAGGGGCCCCGCAGGGGGGCCCCCTGGGGCCCCCCCAGGAGCCCCCCCTGTTACACCTGCTCTATTGTGCCCTGTTGCGCTGCACTGCCGCAAAAAGGGTACAGATCCACAAGGAGACAGCAGCAGCAGTGCAGCTAGTACCCATCCGCCCCACAGCAGCAGCAAACTAGCAGCAGATATATAGGGGGCCCCATCACCTGTAGGTGGTGGGGGGCCCCCAGGGGGAGCCTCTGCAGGGGCCCCAGAGGGGCCCCCTGATTTCTTCTCATCCCCTTTTGGTACTTCGGGGGGCCCCTTAGCTGCGGCGGTGTCCGGGGGAAGCAACTCTTTTCCAGGTCTTGCTGCTGCTGCTGCTGCTTCTGCTGCTGCAGGTGATGCTACTGCTGCTGCAGGTGCTGCTGCTGCTGCAAGTTCTGCATCTACTGCTGCAGGTGCTACTGCTGCAGCAGCAGCTGGTGCTCCTGCTGGTGGGGTTGCTGCTGCAGGTGCTGCTGCTTGTGCAGGTGCTGCTGCTGCTGGTGGTGCAGGTGCATCTGCTGCTGCTGCTGTTGTACGTGCTGCTGCTGCTGCTGGTGCAGGTGCATCTGCTACTGCTGCTGTTGCACGTGCTGCTGCTGCTACAGGTGCTGCTGTTCCTCCTGCTGCTACCGGTGCTGCTGCTTCTACTGCTGCAGGTGCCGCTGCGGCTGCTGCAGGTGCGGCTGCTGCTGCAAGTGCTGCTGCTGCCGATACATGTTCTGTTTCGGCTGCAGGTACTCCTGTTGCTGCTGCGGTTGCAGGTGCTGCAGGTGCTGCTGCAGTTGCTGCTGCAGGTGCTGCAGCAGTTGCTGCTGCAGGTGCAGCAGCAACTGCAGCAGGGGACTGTTTGTCGGTTACTGCTGCATTATCTGCTGCTGCATCACTTCTATCAACATGAGAAGACCGCAAGGAACTAGGTTGTTGTTGTTGCTGCTGCTGTTTCTGCTGCTGCTGCTCTTGTTGCTGCTCCTGCTGTGGTAGCTGCTGCAGCAGCTGCTGGTCCTGCTGATGATCCTGCAGGGGCCCCGTCAAGCCTTGAGGCAATGGAGTATCGACTGGTGCTGCTGCAGGGGCCCCCGTTAGGTATGGAGGTGGCTGCTGCACTATCAGCAGCAATGCGCATGCATGCAGCAGCAGCAGCAGCTCATGGGCCAAGACAAGAGCAAGGCCCGGTATGTAGGCCGTATATACACCCCAAGACAGCCTCATACTGGATTGCTGCTATTGCTGCTGCTGTTGTTTCTGCTGCTGTTGTTGCTGCTGGTACTGCTGCTGCTGCTGCTGGTGCTGCAGTTGGTGGTCAAGCTGCTGCTGCTGCTGCTGCTGCTGCTGGCGGAAAAAGGCGGCCACAGCTGTATATTAGCGCCTATACCAGGGGAAATTGCAGCAGCAGCTGCCAGCTACGGGGAATAGTATGTGTGCGTGGTGTAGTTGCTGCTGCTGCAGCTGCAGCAGCTGCACCTGCAGCAGCAGCTGCTGCCGTTATACAGGGGGCCCCAGGAGTCGTCAAGAGTCATATATGAGGTAAAAGGAAGAAAAGGAGCAGCTAGCTGATGGGCCTTGGATCAGGAGGGCATGAATGTGCTGCTGCTGCTGCTGCTGCAACAGCAGCAGCAGCAGGCCTCAGATGTTTGGGGGCCCCCAGTACTTGGGGCCCCCAGCAAAGAACTTCTGCCCCTCGTTTGACGAATTGAGAATAAAATATAGGAAAGAAAAGAGGGACAAAGGATGGGCCCCTAATAGCAGCAGCAAAGGGCCCCCTTGTTGACTAACAGCCAGCTGCTGCAGCAGCAGCCGCAGCGGAGGGGGCCCCCTGGTAGTTAGTAACACACAGGGGGCCCCCCTGCCTCTCCCCCCATAGAGAAAAGGATGGGGCCCCCCTTCTTCTGCTTAAAGTACCTTTTTATCTTTTAAATGCATTTATTTATCTTATTTATGCTCCATGACTGCAGCAGACAAGAAGGGGGCCCCCCCACCCTGCAGCTAACCCCCAGCAGCAGCAGGTAAAGGGGGCACAGCAAACCAAAATTACAGCAGCAGCAGCAGCACGAGCAGCAGCAGCAGCACGAGCAGCAACATCTGCTGCATTTGGTCCCGTTCCTGTTGCTGTCTTGATGTTTTGGGTACTTGCTGGGCCCCCTTGCATCCTCCTTGGGGCCCCCTTATGAAGTACCGTTGCCGGGGGGCCCCTGTAGGGTATAATGCAACAGCCTGATCAGCAGAAGAAGAGGGGCCCCCGGGGGGCCCCCAGACCCCCCCCAGATGAATGGGGTACCCCTGGGTTCCTTATAAAGCGGCTCAAGTTAGAGACGAGGGAGGAGGCATCACAGGGGCCCCTTCAAGACCAGCAGGGGCCCCCTGACGGGGTTTCCGCTATTCCTGAGGGGGCCCACCGTAGGGGGCAAATTGGGGGCCCCCAGGGGGGCCCCCAAGGAGCTGAGACGATAGATTTAACAAGGAGCTCAGATAGCTCAGAGGGAGAAACAACTACAAAGAAGAAGACCCTGGGGGGCCCCAAAGAAGGGCCCCCTAAGGGAATAAGATCCTCTACAAAAGGGGCCCCACGGGGGGCCCCTTCGATGGCAACAGAGGAACCAACAGGGGCCCCAACAGGGGCCCACAGAAGCAAACCCAAGGGAAAGCAAAAAGCAAGAGGGGGGGCCCCTCTTGCTGCTGCAGGGAGGAAAAGGGATAACTATTTAGATTCATCTAGTACCTCAGAGGAAGAGACAGGGGCCCCCAGCTCTCTTACCAGTGTCCCCAGGGAGAAGGGGCCCCCAGGGGGCTCCTCAGATGTACCCTCATCAGGGGACCCTCAGCTGAAGGAGACGGCAGCAGCAGCATCGCAACTAAGGGTACCTGGACGCAAGGGCCCCCGAACCGTGGAGGCCCCCCTTCAGGGGGGCCCCCAAGGCTGTCAAGAGGTACCCATTTTGTGCTCCTCTTCTTCTGATAGTGAGGGGCCCCCCCTAAACCCTAAAAAGAGGACAGAAGGAAGACATGGGGCCCCTGGAAGAGGGGGGGGCCCCAGTAAAAGGGCATCAGCAGCAAGCCAGCAGCAGACTGCTGCTACCCCAACAGCAGCAGATGCAGCAGATGCAGCAGATGCAGCAGATGCAGCAGATGCAGCAGATGCAGCAGCAGGGACACGGAGAGCATCAAGCGAAGCAGCATCAGCATCAGCAGCAGCAGAATCACCCAAAGGAGCCAGAGCAGCAGCAGCAGCAGCACCAACACCACCAGCAGCAGCAGGAGCAGCAGAATGTGCTGCTGCTGCTGCTGCAGCAGCAGCAGATCAAGAGGAGGAGGGATCGGTGGAGGTGTTGGGGATCGGTGGGATCGGTGGGATCGTTGGGATCGATCCCAGGGATAAGGAGACGATCCCGGGATCGTTATGGAGCATAAGAGACAGAAAAAAAATATCTCCTAATAAAAGGAGACAATTATATAATAAAAGGAGACAATTAGATCCTTTTTATGGTACAGTAGGCAAGATAACAAGGGTATTATTAAGGGACTTTTGTAATCATGAGTATCTTGATTGGAGGCCCTCTCCTTATGCTAATCTTATCTTAGGTACGTACAACTACACCACAGGGGCCCCCTTCCCCCATATGGTACCCTCTTTGGGGGGCCCCCTCCCTCTTATGCTACCCTTTTTGGGGGAGGAAGGGAGCCATAGAGAGAGGCCCTATAGAGGGGCCCCTAGGGGCCCCTATTCGCTATTTATGCTGTGCGTGTCTGCATGCATTATTATTGTGTATATATTATTATTATTATTTGCATGCGTTGTTGTATTTATAATTATATTAATATATTCCTTTTTTTATTATTAATTTATTTATTTATTGCCCTTTTTTATCATTTATTTATTTATTTATTTATTTATTTATTTATTTTATTATTGTTGTCTTTCTTATAGGAGGAAATGGTCAAGGAAAATCAGCAATAGCCAAGGCAATATTTGTATGCTGTGGTGCTGAGAGGGGGGCCCCCCAAGAGGGTACACTAGGTGGGGCCCCCAAGGGGCCCCCAACCCCATCATTAATAAGGAGCGGGGAGACACCTCGTCTATATGAGTATATAAGGGACTATTGGAAGGAGGAGGGGCCCCCCAAGGCCGTTATATCCATTACCTTTTCTAATTTTTCTTCTATAGGGGGCCCCCCCGAGTATGGGGGTGGCCCCCCGGGGGCCCCTGATGGTGGGGGCCCCCCTGGGGCCTCCCAGGAACCTACAGGAGCCGGTTTTTCTGCTGATTCTTCTTCTACATCTTCTCCAGATGCTGCTGCTGCTGCTGCATCTGGTGCAGCAGCAGAAGCAGCAGCAGCAGGAGGATTAAGTCGTATAAAAGAGGAAGAAGATGGATTAGTAAGCCGTGTCTCCTCGTTAACAGGAGACGCATTTGTACCCATAGATAGGGCATATAATAATTTATTATATGGAGATTATATAACAATAACAAGAGAAATAGTTAAGAAACGTATACCCCGCAAGCAGCAGCAGCAGCAACAGCAGCAGCAGCAGCAGCAGCAGCAGCAAGGAGAAGAAGAAGAGGAAGAAGAAGAAGAATCAGGTTGGGGTACAGCAAGTAGTACTTGGTATATCCAAGGCCATAACAGTTACTATACCCCAGCGACCGCCAGCAGCATCAGCAGCAGCGGCAGCATGAGCAGCAGCATGAGCAGCAGCAGCAGCAGCAGCAGCAGCAATAAAAGGAGGGAAATAAAGATAAAAGAATTAAATATAATACTAAGACATTATAATATAAATATAAATAATCCTTGTATTTATTTATCACAAGAATTAGCAAAAAATTTCTTATTTAAGGCTAATAATCATCATTTATACCAATTTTATTTATTATCTACAGGTAGGGACTCCTGCTGCTGCTCCTGCTGCTCCTCCTGCTGCTGATGGTGCTGCTGCTGCTGCTGCTGCTGAGGGTGGTGGTGCTGCTGCTGCTGATGGTCGTGATGGGGGTGGTGTTGCTAGATATGCTGTAATCATCATTGTCTCTCTCTCTCTCTCTATGTGCTGCTGCTGTTGTTGCTGTTGCTGCTGCTGCTGTTGCTGCTGTTGCTGCTGTTGCTGCTGCTGCTGCTGCTGCAGGATTAGGTGCAGCACTAAGTAGTATAAGAGAAGCAGCAGCACGTCATGAGTCTGCTGCTCAGCAACTAAAAGTATATGAGGATCGTTTGTTACCAACAAAAGAAAAATATAAATTATTAAATAAACAATTATTATTATGTACACAGGTAACTAGCTAGCTAGCTAGCTAGATAGATAGATAGATAGATATATTATATAGCTAGCTAGCTAGCTAGCTAGCTAGCTAGCTATGTAGCTAGGTACAGATAGATACGTACAGATAGGTAGCTACAGATAGATACAGCTAGATAGATACAGATAGCTACAGGTAAATACTGTATTTGCTGCTGCTGCTGCTGTTGCTGCTGCTGCTGCTGCTGCTGCTGCTGCTGCTGCTGTGTTGTGTGCAGCTTGAGGAGTTGAAGGCGGAGGCTGCTTCATTGAAGGAAATAATTCCTTACCTGAAGGCAGCAGAGGCAGCAGCAGCAGCAGCAGCAGCAGCAGCAGAAGTAGAAAAGATAGAGGAGGAGGTGCAGCGGCAGCAAGGTGCTGCATCTCGTGCTGCAGCAGCAGCAGCAGCAGCAGAAAGGGAGAAGGAAATAAAGCATCGTCGTGTATATCTACATGAGAGACGTAACGACGTAAAGGAATTAAATAAGCAGCAGCAACAGCAGCAGCAGCAGCAAGCTGCTGCTGCTCGTCAGCTACGTAGTAAGAAAGGAGAAGCAAATAGATTAAGACAAGACATAGCAGCAAATAAAGAGATGATGGAGACACTTCGTGATGTTATCAATACTATGCAACAGGTATGCAGCAGCAGCAGCAGCAGCAGCAGCAGTAGCAGCAGTAGCAGCAGTAGCAGCAGTAGCAGCAGTAGCAACAGTAGCAGCAGTAGCAGCAGTAGCAACAGTAGCAGCAGTAGCAGCAGCAGCAAGGATTTATTTGTGTTTGTTTGTCTCTTTGTCTCCCTCCTTTTTATTTATTGTCTCCTTTTGTCCCCTTTTGTCTCCTTTTGTCTCCTTTTGTCTCCTTTTATCTCCTTTTATCTCCTTTTGTCTCCTTTTTATTTATTGTCTCCTTTTGTCTCCTTATTGTCTCCTTTTGTCTCCTTATTGTCTCCTTTTGTCTCCTTTGTGTTGTGCATGCAGACACTAAAAGGGCCAACAAATCCATCAGCAGGAGAAGCAGCAAAAATAGCAGAGAAGGAAGCAGCAGTTGCTGCAGCAACAGCAGCACTTGCTGCAGCAGAAGAAGCACTGCAGAAAGTGCAGCAAAAATCAGCAGCAGCACAACAAGCTGCTGCTGCAGCACGGGGTGTATGTACAGATGCAGAGCTGCGTCTGCAGTCAGCACAATATTATGCAAAGGAGACAAGCGCGCAGGTGCAGCAGCAGCAGAAGCTGCTGCAGCGGCTGCAGCAACAGCAGCAAGAGAGGCGTCAGCAGCTGCGTGAATCTTTAGCAAGGGAGAAGAAAGCACAGCAACAAGCAGCAGCAGCAGCAGAAGCAGCAGCAAAATCAGCAGCAGCAGCAGCAGCAGCAGCACGTGACGCATCAGGGAGACCTGGTCATCCCCAGCAGCAGCAGCAGCAGCAACAACAACAACAACAACAGGAGCTGCAGCAACTGCAGCAAGTAAGGGCCTCTATTTCTAAGCGTCTTGCGCTGTATATACACCCAAGGATGCAAGGAGGGGGCCCCCCTGACTATGAAGGAGTTCTTGCTGCAGTGCAGCGGCTGCAGCAGCAGCAGCAGCTGCAGCACATACCTGTTGGTCCCTTAGGGGAGTTATTATATATAGATAATAATGTTGCTGCTGCTGCTGGTATACCAGCAGCAGCAGCAGCAGCAATAATAGAGGAACATATACGTCCTTATATTAATACTTTCTTAGTTAGCTGCATAAGAGAGCAGCGGCTGCTGCTGCAGCTGCTGCAGCAGCACCGCTGCCCTCCTCGTGTTGCTGCTGTTAATTTTTGCTGCTCTCCTTATGCTCCCCGTCTTATGGATAATTTCTTAGGTATACCCCCAGGTGTATGTACTATCTATAAAATATTAAGGAAACAGGAGACACCTACAGCAGCAGCAGGAGCAGCAGGAGCAGCAGCAGCAGCAGCAGCAGCAGGAGAGAAGAAAGATACACAAACAGACACAAGCTGCTGTTTGCCTTTGGTAAGATAATCAGTAAATTATAATAATAACAACCCCACCTCTAGCAACCACCATTTGCTGCTGCTGCTTGTACTGCTGCTGCTGCTGCTGCTGCTGCATCTGCTGCTATATGTGCTGCTGCTGCTGCTGCTGCTGCTGTTCTTAGGTAGCAGTACATTTTTTAGTGGATGTTGCATCAATAGAGAGGGTGGCGATAACAGAGAACAGGCAGCAGCTGCGTATGCTGCTACAGGGTCCCTCCCTGCAGCAGCAGCAGCAGCAGCAGCAGCAGCAGAGGGGACCAGGATTAAGAGAAGGATACAGCTGGAGGGACGAAGTACATCTAAGGAGACAAGGAAGAGGAATAGAGGGACTACCATCAGGACAAGGAAGAGGGAGAGGAGGAATAAGGGGAATTGTACGGCAGCAGCAGCAGCAGCAGCAGCAGCAGCAGCAAGCAGCAGCAGCAGCAAGTGCAGCAGCAAGTGCAGCAGCAGCAGCAGCTGCTGCAGAGGTGCAGCAAAAGGAGACACATGAAGTAGCATATGCTGCACTAGAGAAAGAACTGCAGCAAGAAAAGGAGACCGAGGAGACACTGCTGCAGCAAAAACAGGAGACACTTGCTGCAGCAAGGAAACAATTAGAGGCTGCTGCTGCTGCTGCAGCAGCAGCAAGAGCTAAAGAAGCAGCAGCAACTGAAGAATTACGTGTATGGACTGTCTTACCCCTTTACCTCCTGCTGCTGCTGCTGCTGTTACGTCCTACTGCTGCTGCTGCTGCTGCTGCTATTTGCTGCTGCTGTTGGCTGCTGTATCTCCTCACTTATTGATTGTCTCTTTGCTGCTGTTGTCTCCTACTGTCTCCTTTTTTGTCTCCTTTTCCCATTTATTGTCTCCTGCTGCTGCTGCTGCTGCTGCTGCTGCTGCTGTTATGTATATACAGGGTTATGAGGAAGAGGAGACCCGTCATCTTGCTGTTGTCTCCTTAGCAAGAGACACAAAGGATGATGCATTATTAGCATTAAATAATATAAAAAATAATAATAATAATTATTTATTTAATCATGTAAACCCTAAACCCTAAACCCTAAAACCCTAAACCCTAAAACCCTAAAACCCTAAACCCTAAACCCTAAAACACTAAATAATACTCGTATAGGCTACTTTGTTCACACCGCTTGTTGTAGCAGAAGGGACAGCAGAATTAGGGTTTAGGGTTTAGGGTCTTTTAGGGCTTTTTAAGGGTTTAGGGTTTAGGGTTTAGGGTTTAGGGTTTGTGCTACAGGAGCAGCTGAAGGTATTGAGGGAGAAATTAACAGCAAAAGAAAGAGAGAGAGAAGGAGAAGAGAAACAGCAGCAGCTGCTGCAGCAGCAGCTAGAGGAGACACTTGCTGCTGCTGCTAAGCTGCAGCAAACAATAGAGGAGACACAGCAGCAAATTGATGATACTAAACAAAAACTTGCGGATGCTGCAGCAGTGAGTTGCTGCTGCTGTTGCTGCTGCCGCTGCTCTTGCTCCTGCTGCTGCTGTTGTTGCTGCTCTTGCTGCTGTTATTGCTGCTGCTAATGCTGGTGCTGCTGTTGCTCTTTTGCTGCTGCTGATGCTCTTGCTGTTGTTGCTGCTGCTGATGATGCTATTGGTGCTGCTGCTGCAGTTGCTGCTGCAGCAGCTGCTGCTCCTACAGTTTCTCCTCTATTGTCTCCTTTTTATTGTCTCCTTTTTGTCTCCTTTTTGTGTCTCCTTGTTAGTCTGTCGATGCTGCTGCTGCTGCTCTTCGTGCTGCTGAGGAAAGGATAGAGAAAGAAAAAGAAAAGGAGACAGCTGCTGCTGCTGCTGCTGCTTCTCGTCTGCTGCTGCTGCAGCAAAAGAAGCAGCAACTAGAGGCACTTCGTGCAGAGGCAGAGGTATATAATAATAAGGAGACAATTATTATTTTATTTATTTATCTCCTTTTTCTTCTTTTTTTTTGTCTCCTTTTTCTTCTTATTTAATTGTCTCCTTTTTCTTCTTTTTTTGTCTCCTTTTCCTTCTTTTTTTGTCTCCCCTTTCTTCCTTTTTGTCTCCTTTTTCTTCTTATTTATCTTTTTTCTTCTTATTTAATTGTCTCCTTTTTCTGTCTCCTTTTGTCCTGTCTCTTCCTGTCTCCTGTCTCCTTTCTTGCTTCTCCTTTATTTATTTATTTATT